GTGGGTGTCGCAATGAAACACGAGTGCGTAGCTGCGCACATTTTGGAGTTAGACGGTTCCATTTTAACCTCGTTTTGAGTTTCCTTTTCGAAAAAACTTCATTTTGCAATTAGGAAAACTTTTTCTGAGATTTTTTTACATATGTTAGATTTTCCTTTTTTGAGCAGACTGATATTTTTTTTGTGAGAAGTATTGAGCAGACTGAGTTTTTTTTTTTTGAACACTTTTTATTTATCATAGCAACTTTATTCACTAAATAATAGCCAGATCGTTTACATAGCGTGCGAGAATAAAGTCAGGGACATTCGATTCCCAAGATTCAGACCTACTAATGCTGAAACAATGTTTTGCTAATGCATCCGCCACAGTATTTGCTTCTCTGCTACAATAACCGAAGGCGATACTAGCGAACTCCATGGTCACAAGAGAGCACTCTGCAATGATTGGAACATCAGTTCCCATGTAAGCATTTGGATCAGATATTGCCTCCAACGCCACCATGCTATCAGACTCTATGATGACCTTAGTACAACGCAGATTTGCTGCTAAAGTTAAGCCACTTCCAAACAGCTGATAATTCTGCTGAGTGAACATTAGAGACATGGGGTAGAACACATGTTGCAGCTGCCAAAAATTTGCCCCGATCATCACGAGCTATAGCTCTGCGCGCTCCTGACAAAGTTTCTGCATGAAATGACGCATCCACATTCACTTTAACAGCTCCGTCAGTTGGCTTCTTCCAGAGCAGACTGAGTAGAAAAGAGATTTGGGAATACTACACGGGAAAACCGCAGATGGGCCGTATTAACGGGCCTGGATAGCTCGGCCCAAGAGGTGCGGGCCTTTAGTGGGCCACAATTAGTTCTCTACAGAAATAGTCCAAGTGCCATAAATAGCCCAACAGGTCCCGCCATTCACGTGCAGGTGCCGCGGCAAAAGTAAAACCCTCGTTTAGCCGTCGCCCTGACCCCTACCGATCTCTCTCTCTCTCTCTCTCTCTCCTCGCCGGCAACCGGCAGCGGCGGGCTCCAAAGGCGACCGGCGCGACGCTGTGAATGTGAGCGACTTCATCGATCTCCTTCCCACTACCTTCTGCTTTCTTCCGATTTCATTTCCATGTCATCGTATACGCACTCGCCTCGCCAGGCGACGATTGAAATCTGCCCTACCTGATTCAGTGATTCTGCTGCGTGATTTGTTTTGCATGACTAACTCGATCCTTAGCTACTATGTGAATTTTGTTTCCAAACTCGTTTTTAATGAAATCTCTTATCGGAATCGCATCACAAACAAAGACGTAAAGTAGATCTGGTCTCAACCATTTTTTGCCGCCGGTCGTTACTTAACATTAGATTACATACACTTTGGGACCCAAGCTGATATTTCGAACAATCTCCATGTAATCATTGTATTCGTTGACCTTTTCGAGCCGTCGCCCTGACTCCAGATTGCTTTCATGTCAACAATGAATCCTCCTCGCCAATACGCCGCAGCTGCGAGCGGACACGTTGTGACTAGTGACATGGACGACTAGTGACATGGACGACTTCGTCTTCAGCGGGGAGGCGGCGGCTGCTGCTCGCTCGGTAAGACTGCCATGCACACCTGAAAAAACAAAATGATATATGCCCAGTAGTCAGTAAATATAGTTAGTGTTTTGCTAATAACATGCATGCTGGCTTTCAGTTTTTAGGTTTAAGTCCATTTCCGGACTTCAGAAAGTCTTTTTCTCTCAAAAGATCGTCCAAATCAAAATACGTTTTGACCATTTCCTTTGTTTTGAAGGCAACTTTAAACTAGACACCCCGTTTTGATATGTTTTCACGAGTTTTTTCTGTATTGTAGTTCTTTACAATATTTTTCTGCGGCATCTTTACTCTAGCTCCTATTGCATTTTTGTGATGTATATTTTCTACTGCATTTTCCGTACATTATCTTTCTTGCTTCATTTGTGCACTAGTTTGTGTCGTCTTTTCCTACTGCTGCATATGTTGTATCCCATGTTTATGATGCATATGTTGTGCCCCATGTTTCTGCTGCATCTTTCTACTAAATTTTTTATAAGAGTTTTGCTTCGGTACACCCCTCTTAAAAGTTTACAAGAATCTAAAGTTTCTACAAAAGGCCATCATCATGTTAGCCTGCAGATCAAACGTGTTGAATGGATTGATTTGGATACAAAAGACTATATTGTCCTTTTTTAATTGAAGAGGTACATTCTAATCTTCACCTTTGATTTGCATCTAAATCCCTAAACTTTTCTATGGGGTGTACCAAAGCAAAGTTCTAGTTTCCACTGTGCTGCAACATTCATCTACTGGTACAAAAAAGAAAGGAAGAAACTAATAACTACCCCTCCGTCTCATAATGTAAGACTTTTTCACACTACACTGTATTAAACACTCTCGTGCTTACTCTTAGAGAGTGTTTAAGACAAATGAAGAGTGTTTAAGACAAGAGAAACCCCTATAACTGAAGAAGTTTGCCCTATTCTACCAAGAAATATTCCAAATGTGGTGTAAGAATTGGCATGAAAACCCGACCCTGGAATTGCCCAAGCTGTTAATCAATGTAGTGTTAGGTTTCTAAGGTTGTAGATTAAAATTAATTATATTTGGTCTTGAGGTTTCTGGGTTTTAATGGTCTCCTAAGGTCTCAAAGGCTTAAATTAGGATTTAAGTCTTTTAGGGCAAATGACTATGTCCTTAACTCTGTAAATTTTTGTGCAGTTAAGTTCCAAACTATGTGGATATCTTTGCAATTAGTGTTCCTAATAGAAAATTCAATTATACCTGGTGTATCTTTGTCAATGTGCATATGAACACATTGTGCTACTAGTGTTGTTAGTTCATGTTGTTGTCCTAGTCCTTATAATCTAACCCTTTTGTAGCTAGGTTAGCTGGCTACCACTCTCTCGTTTACATGGGTATATATCCCCCCACCATCAATACAATTGATAGTGTGAAAACCTTCTTCCTAGTCTAAGCTCTTACATTCTACCAGCCTCTTCCTAAATCATGCGATACTCATTTCCTCACTTCTGCACCTACTTGCCATGGACGGCGCCTCTTCCGTATCCTCTGGCGCAAACACTAAACCCTTCACCGTTGCAATCAGGCAAGTTCCCATCCGACAACATGTTCCTATCATTCTCGACCTCCAGGAATCCAACTATACATTGTGAACTTCAATGATGGTCTTCCGCATGTATGCGCTCACCAACCACATCGACGACTCCGCCAATGCTTGCATGCGCCTCGTCGATCTTGATTGGACATCATTCAACTCATGCATTGTCAATTGGGTGTACACCACCACCTCCTCCTCTCGGAGACCCTCGACATCATTGTCAAACTCGATGACACCACCTACTCCGCCCGGATTGTCGTCCACAACCTCTTCCTTGGTGACCGTGCTCATCAAGGGATCTATGACCTGCACAAATTCCATAGTCTATATCAAGGTGTGATCTCTCCATTGTGACATACTGTAGCAAGCTAAAGTAGCTCGAGGACACTCTTCGGAAAATCATCGGCTACCACACACCAATGAGGGCATTGTCCTCAGTGTCATCACTGACCTAAAGTCAGGCTTCAATCAGTCTTCCACCAACATGTCCTTGCGTGGGCCGCCATCCTTCCTCGAGCAAGAGGAGCGGAACATCACCCACACCAACGCCACGGAGGACGAATCCACCCTCCACATCCATGCCCATGGCGACTCATGTTGTCCCAAAATTCAATGCTAGAGTTGTTAGGACTGCATGAGCCAACATGGGCTTTGGCATGGAGGGAACGACAATTTAGAAAGGATGACAACCTGTGCAAGGGATTGCTGGTGACAGACATACTGAAGTTAGATCTTGAGGTTTCTGACGAAATTAAGGACGAGGCCCTCGCTCCTGATGTTCTAGTCGACATGCATCACGGTGTGTTCGTGAGATGAGTTAGCTTGCTACAGTATTATGTGATAGAGAGACCACCTTGGTATAGATTGTATAATTTGCGGAGGGCATATATTGCACGATGAGAACGGTTGTTGAGGAAGAGGTTGTGAACGACAAGCCAGAGGAAGTAAGTAGTCTCATCAGGCTTCATGATGATGTCGAGGATTTCCTAGGAGATGGGTGTATACACCTAGTTGATGATGCAAGAGTTGATAGATATATAGTGAAGGACGACGAGGCGCATACGGCCGTCGACGGAGCATTCGACGTGGTCGGTGAGTCCATATTGTAGTTGGATTAATGGAGGTCAAGGACGACAGGAGCATGTTGCTGGATGGGCACATGTTGGGTTGCAAGGGTAGAGGGGGAGGGTTGGTGTTGGCGCCGAAGGAGATGGAAGATGCGTTGTCCATGGTTAGCACGTGTGGAAGCGAGGAAACGAGTATCACAATAATTAGAAAGAGGTTGAAACCATGTAAGAGTTTATACTAGGGAAAATATTATATATACCCATCTACACGAGTGAGACTAACTAACCTAGCTAGGAATGGCTTAGATCATATGGACTAGGACAACAACACAATCACGCACTAACAACACTAGCAGTATCAAACATGTATCCATACAAGCACGTTGAAAAACTCTTACAATCCCCGCCCCAGTCTAAACTCTTACAATCTAAACCATTTAATAGTATATATGCATTACAGCATCCATTTATATGTAATAAATGAAATATAAAATTTCCAACAAATCTTGTAGTTAAAAAATGTTTATCTAGTGGTATTGGTTGCGTGGTTTGTACATAGCCTGTGGGTTACATTTGATATTATCCACTAATCTGAAATTGTCTGCTCACACGGAGATCTCTTTGTGCTACAGTTTAGAAAGATGGTATTGCTCCACCTGCTTTAATTCTTGGAAAAGTTAACTTCTTTTCGATGATACAGAAATGCATGTTTTCTTGTCAATTAACGTTGCTCATTTAGAAGGGTTGAATTTAACTACAACAGAATAGCACGCCTACTATGGAGTTGTCGATGAAGCTCATGTCATGATCGACACCAAGGCCCAGAAGGTGTGCTTCGCCGAGGATGGAAGCGACGTCGTGGAGTTCCTCGCGGGCCTCCTGTCCCTGCCGCTGGGCACCGTAGTCGACCTACTGACCAAGGAGCGCATGGTCGGCTGGATCGGCAACGTGCTCGGCAGCGTGGAGAAGCTAGATGCGAACTACAAGAGCAAGGAGTTGTGCCTTAGCCCAGCCGTCACCCCGGCCACGATCCCCCTCCTAAAGCAGCTGTTGGGCACACAACTCAGCAACGGTACTGACACCTTCTACACATGTGAAGGCCGTAAAACTGGCGCCTACCCAGGCGTAGGCACTAGCTGTGGATATCTATCGGTGATACGTAACAGAGTCTGCCCTAGATGCAACTGTTATATGCACAGGGCTATGACGCTCGCCGCCGAAACGAATGGGACCCTGGTGGCCGCGGCACCATCGACGACCACGCCGTTACCTGTGGGCATGTACACTGTCGGGGATGACCCACTAGTAGAAAAAGAGGCTTCCGTCCAGCCTCATTAGTCGCGAAACTGTAGGAACCGCGACTAATGAAGTCTTCAGTCGCGGTTCGGCAGATGAACCGCGACCAAATGCCTGGGCCCAGGGCGCTCGCGGGCTTTAGTCGCGGTTGGCCAGGCCAACCGCGACTAAAGGTGCCCAAAGGCCTTTAGTCGCGGTTGGCCTGGCCAACCGCGACTAAAGCTCGCGGGCTTTAGTCGCGGTTTGCCAGGCCAACCGCGACTAAAGGTGCGCAAAGGCCTTTAGTCGCGGTTGGCCAGGCCAACCGCGACTAAAGCTCCTCCCCTATATATACCAGTTCAGCACGCTCACTTAGCCATTTGGTGCCACTTCTCTTCACAAGCTTCACAAGGGGGTGTAGATTTGCTTTTGGTTCCTCTTATGCACACAAGGTGTTTGATGAAATGCCCTAAGAGGGTGAAACAAACATGATATGAAGTGTTGGAGCCACACTTGAGGTTCCTCATTTATTTTTTCCTCCTCGATCGCGGTTAGCAACTTGAACCTTTCATGCATGTGTGTCATTGATAAAATATGCATGTGTGCAGTTCATTGTTTAATTTATATTATTTGTAGCTAGTTAGTTTAACAAATGCATGATGGTTAATTATATATTTTATATTATAATAATGCAGATGAATCAGCAATGGATGTACGGTAACCGACTCTCCGGCGAGTTCACTACGGGTTTGAAAGATTTCCTCGTAGTGGCTAATGCGAACAAGCAGGGGGGTTTTGTTATCTGTCCATGTGTTATCTGTAAGAATCAGAAGGGTTACTCTTCCTCAAGAGATGTTCACATGCATCTGCTTCGGCACGGTTTCATGCCAAGCTATAATTGTTGGACCAAGCATGGAGAAAGAGGGGTTATAATGGAAGAAGATGAAGAAGGGGATGATTTCATCGATGAAAGCTATCTTGCTCATTTCGGTGATACTTTCATGGAGGATGCTGAAGGTGAAGGGGAAGGTGAAGAAGAGGCACGTGATGATCC